AACGCAAAGTGGCGAGGGTTCACTGTATATAGCTTGTAGGATGAGCGGCCGCTGCTAAACGGCAACAAAAACAAGGCTGGGCTGCATGTGGGGCAGACGGATTCAGGCCAAACCCATGTCGGCGAGCCAGGAGTCCTTTCCAACATCTTGTCTCCGTGTGTGGAATGGGGCTATTCGATCCTTGAGAGGCTCTTAAGAGCGATGAATGACACATGGTCAAGACTCTTGCAGACGTAGCGTAGGGATTCTCTACTGTGAAATCTTTGGGAACTGTCGTGGTCCTTGTTGCCAGCTGCCATGGAGCTGACCCTTGCCTGAGTCATGGTGACCCGTCCCAGCAGAAGGAAACACTGCCAGGCCCTGCACCATCCATCCCTGTGGTGGGTGGGGGCCCTGGGTTGTTGGCGGTTGATGGTCCGAAGTAGATTCTTCTGACCTTCACTGAGACGCCACTGCAACGTGTCCAGCGTCAGAGCAGCGCACAAAGCTCCCCCGACAGACGGGTGGGCTGAGAATGAGCAGGGCTGGCCAAAGACTCAAGCTGGATCTCTGGCCTGAAAGAGGAGAGTTCTCCCACCGCCCCACCACTGCCCTCTATGCGAACGTTTTAGGCATCTCAAAATCTATTGTATGCATAGATAAGAAGAGTTTCTCAGATGGGAATGCTTTGAAATGGTCCTTTATATTTAAAAAGTTCAAACTGTATAACGGGCCCTAAGATGCGGCTTTCCACTCTTGCAAAGTTTTACAGTCGTGGAAACCCACCCCGGCTGCTCTCTTCTGTCACGTAGCGTCAATGTGAGTCAAATTTGACTCCAGGGCAGTCAGACAGGCCCTGTCCTCAGGGAGTCTTGGACTGGTCAGTGGTTCAAACTCACCAGCGGCTCCATGGGAGAAAGATGAGGCTAACTGTTCCGCAAAGACTGACAGCCTCCAAAACTCCACACAGAAAGTGTCCCTGTGAGTGGAACCGACCCGATGGCCATGGGGGCACTCGACTCCCTAAGGAGCTTGGTGGTGTCGTGGGTTAAGCATCGGGCTGCTCATTGCAAAGTCAGGCCTTTTGCCACCAGCTTCTTGGCAGCAAGTCGAGGTGGCTCTCCCAGCGGGAGCCACCGCCTCGGACACTGCATGCAGGGGTGCTGGGAGCAGGAATCACCTCGATGTCAGGGGTTTGGTCTTCTCGGCATTCTTCTCCAGAATGTTTTACTGTGGCGAGGCAGCTGCTACAGGAAAGCATACATACTTATGTCGTCAAATAATGCAAATCTTTGGAACTGTGTTTTGACGATCAGTTAATTCTTTCTTTTTTTTCCTCCCCCCGCCCACCAGGATGAAGATGACAGTAAGTTCAAAAATACCTTCCTACAACTTGTAACTCATCCCTTCATTTTTCTGCTCAGATATTTACATTTATTTGATTTTTTTTTCAAAGTTGATCCTATTTAGTAAAGGAACATCCTTGAATCAGTTACAATTGTTAAACGAACATTAAGCAGATAGCCTGATGATGCAGTGGGTTAAGTGATGGGCACACCCCACCTGGTCAGTGCTTCAGCCCCAGTAGCATCTGAGGCCGAAAGAGGAGGCTGTCTGCTCCTGTAAAGTGTGCAGTCTTGGGAACCCTGTTTGGGGTCATTGCAAGATGAAATCAACTCGCTGGCAGTGGGTTTAAGCTTGTTTTGTAGTTTAAAGTTGGTATACTGGACCATAGGAAAATGGGTTTATTTGCCTGAGTTACCAAGACGATGATTCATTGACTTCATATGGAGCAATACATAAGCCAGGGGAGGCTTTCTACTCCCTTAGAGTTGCAGTCTGAGACGCCCAGGGGCAGTTCTACCCTGTCCTCTAGGGTGCTGGGAGTCAGAAGGGACTCGGGGGACTTGCCTTCGGTGCGGTTTGGTAGCAGCACACAGAAAAGTTAAAAGTTGGGTGTAGCGCTAAATAGGATATTTCTATTGTTGATGCTCTCGGAGATATGTGGGTACAGAAAATCCTGAGCCGCAGACTGGTGAGATCACAGAGAATGTTGGCGCTCATAAAACAGAACCAGATGGAGCAGAAGCAACTTGTGAACCTGTGTCTGAAATGCAAAGGGTCCCCAGGCAACAGTTCTCTGCCACGTTAGCAGTTCATCGATTATCAAAAATAAAGTGAACCTGACTTTTATGGAATAATATAGAATGGCAGCATTTTTTCAATGCACTCTAAGGTGGTAGATTATTTAGAAAAACTTTGGGAGCCAGGATTCTAGCCAAATATTTTCTGGCTACATCTGATCTTTTGCATTTTTATATTCCTCCTCAGATTAATGAAGGAGCCCTTAGTACATCGCTGGTGTAAGGGTGACACACTGTGCTGCTAGCTGCAAGGGCGGCAGTTCTAAACTACCAGCTGTTCTTTGGGGGGAAAGGGGGGCTTTCGACTGTTGTAAAGAGTTAGAGTGTCTAAAACGCACAGGGGTTGGGTTCTACCTGGTCCTGTAGGGTGGCATCGACTCAATCGCTGGTAGTGTTTGGCTTTGGTTTGGGGGGCCTAAGCAGGGGGCTATGTGTTGAACTGCCAACCCCAAGGTCAGCAGGTAGAATTGACCAGCTTCTCCACGTATGAAAGGTGAGTCAAACATCTCCCATGAAGATGGCGAACCTCAGAAATCCTATGGGTCGGAATTAACTCGGTTTTGGGGGTTGGGCCTCCTCAGAGCTCAGTCACTTCTGGAATGTCTTTGGGTGACCCTTGGGATTCTAGAGCCTGTTATCTCTTACTTATCTTCTCCTTCCATAGTGCATCAAAGGCCTCTGCCCCAGCCAGCACTGGCCCCCATGAGCTCCAATACTTTTCCTTCACGATCCAACAAGCTGAGCCCCAAGCATTCCCTCCCATCGCCTCACCCGCCCGGAGCCTTCTCAGAAAGGTTTGTGACAATATCATTAAGTCTTCACTTAACGAAATGTCTCCTGGGTCTACTCCCCACTACAGCAGGGCTAGGTTGGTTGAGGAAGAATGAAATAAGCCAGTGGGTTAGCAGGGTAAGAATATTTCGGGTTTTAAAAACAAAAGCAACCTGAATATTAAAAGCATATTCCAGCCCACATCTGTCCCCAAGGCTGTACACTTTAATTGGAGGGGGGGAAGGGGTGTACAGAGTCAACTGCCCATGGTTGTCCCCGTCTGAATGGACCCTTTCTAAAAGAAGAGGGTGCTTTCATGTAGTGAGTCAAGCAAACAGATGAACAAAACCGATGAGCCTTAAGAAGTCAGTGACGGAGCGTACTTAGAGTGCATCTTGCATCTTGCACCAGAAGACCGGAACCCACGTCATGCTGGGGCCAGAAATGCCACTGTCATTAAGGCGTGCCCACTGAGATCCCATGTCTTACACAGAATAGAACTGCTCCAAAGGGCTTCCTTGGCTGTGATGCTCAGGGTAGCAGCCTGCCAGAACTTTCTTGTGTGGAGCTGCTGGTGTCTTTGAAACACCAAGCTCCTGGTTAGTAACCCAAACTGCGTGCAGCAGCCACAGAAACACTTGGGCTGAATCCTGGCCAGCTGCTAAGCCTTCACTGGGCGGGCTCTGTCCCCCGGAGATCTGCTTTGTCAATAACCTGGTCACTTCTCATGGCTCACAATAAATCCGTCCTGAGGCAGAGAAAGATGCTTGGGGCTCCCTCCTGGGGTCCCCACAGCTCCCAGCCCCCAGGCTCATCCTCTCTTCTACCATTCAGAGTGAAGCCCACGTCTCTGCCGTACATCGTGTAGCTCAACTACCAGCAACCCTCTCTCCACCTCTGCCACACCCCCTGTGAGCTTGCATCTCTCTCCTTGGTGGCTTTTGGCTCTGATTTTGCTGCTTCTTACACATCCATCTCTGCTCTATTTCTCTTGCTGTACCAACTCTGCCCTTTTCCCATGATCCTTCACCCTTCACTGGGCCCCTCCCTTTTTGATCATACTCACAAAATAGTATTCGCCGAGCTTGCTGTACCGAGCAGACTTTTATGGAAGGCTCGGGCTCTTGGGTAAGGATGTGCTTGGTTGGCATGGAGCAGACAGCCTAGATGGCAGTTAGCAATAATGACAACACCGGAGACCTGGTAGTGCAGTGGTTGAGCACTGGGCTGCAGCCGTTCAGTGAAAGGTCAGTAGTCACTGTGAGGAAGAAAGACTTGACGGTCACCCTCTGAAAACCGCTGTGTTGTTGGGTGCCATAGAGTCCGTGCTGACCCACGTGACCCCATGCACAACTGAATGAGGCACTGCCAGTCTGGTGCCGCCCTTCTCATGGTGCCAATTCCCAGCCCGTGTTGCAGCCTCTGTGTCAGCCCCATGCATAGAAGGCTCTCTAGCCTTCTTTCCGCTGCCCCTCCGCTTTGTGATGTCCTTCTCCAGGGACAACATGTCCAAGTTGTGTAAGATGAAGTCTCCCCATCTTTGCCTCTAAGGAGCACTCTGACCGCACTTGCTCCAACACAGACTGGTTTGTCGTCTTAGCAATCCATGGTATTTTCAACATTCCCCTCCAGCTCCACAATCCAAATCCACTGGTTCTTCGTCAGCCCTCTTGATTCAACGTCCAACGTTCACATGCATAGGAGACGTTTGAAAACACCACGGCCTGCGTCAGTGGCAACGTAGTCCTCGGAGCAACATCCTTGCTTTTCAATGCTCCATAAACACTGATGACGGGTCCAGGCAAGACACAATCCTTGACTCCTTCAGCTTTTTCTCCATTTGTCTTGATGCTACCTATTGGTTCAGGGGGGAGAATTCGGGTGTTCCTCACAATGAGTCATAATCCTCACAATGTGGCTGCAATCCTTGATCTTCATCAGTAAGTGCTCCAAGTGTTCCTCCCTTTAGGAAGTAGGGTTATGTCATGTGCATGTAGCAGGTGCTTCTGCGCCGTCCTTTCATCCATCATGGTGCTGTGAACATGAGAGAAACTACCCCTGTGGGTGGTTTTATTCTGCTCCAGGGTTGCTGTGAGTAGGAATTGACTAGATGGTGGTGTGTTTGGTTTACTAACCTAAAGGTTGGTGGTTCAAACCCACCCAGTGCCCTGGCAGGAGAAAGACTCCGTGAGTTGCTTATGAGAAGGTTACAGCCAAAATCACTCCATGGAAGAGCCTGCCTCAGGCCAGCCGTGGAATGTGTCTAGTGGGTTCTTTCCTATTCTTGCCCAGATCCAAATCTTCAAAGAATCCAGTGTCTCCAACTGACCCTGTCACCCCAGCCTAACCTAACCTAAAACCTGCCCGTTTCTGTCTCCGCAGTAGCGGCCATTTCCTGCAGAGCGCCTCGCTGCCACCAGGCTTCCCTCAAGGTTTGTGCCGCAGTTACTTCTCTGCCAACTCGCCGGTGTGACTGGGCTCCCAATCTGTCCCACGACCTTTGACAAAGGGTGTGCTGTTTCCTGAAGGCATGGGACTTCCTCAGTCCACACTTAACTCGGTGCCTGCAGTGTGCAGGGACTGGTGGAAGGCTGTGCCACGAACCAGCACTAGCGCATGCACGCACGCTCTCTCCCACAATCTACTCATTTAGACTTCCTTCCGACTTCCAGACTTGATATGTAATTTTTTCTCTCCTTGCTGTGTTTGTCCTTGGGTTGTGGATTAGAGGTCTCTCTTTCCAAACCTTAACCAGTGAAACAAGGAGCGCTGGTGGCAGTGTGCTTTCGTGTTGGGCTGCTAACTGCAAGTTCAGTAGTTCAAAGCCACTAGCCATTTCCTGGGAGAAAGACGAGGTTCTCTACTCCCATAAGATGTTACATTCCCAAAAGTGATTTTTGAAAATACTTCTGGAAGAGAATTTTTTTAAAACAAATTGAGATTTTTGTGGAAACCTAGCCTGGAGCAAGTCCATCAATGCTATTTTCCAGCAGCATGGTGTCCCTGTGTCACGTTTCGTTTACTCCTCTGTCCTCTCAGGATGCATTTTTCATGACGGAGTTGCACACTTAATCAGCCACAGCATGGTGTAGGCACTGCTTTTATAGGCTCTGGATCCCTCCTCCAAAACGCAAGTCATTTTACAACCTGGCTCTGAAACTGAGCCAACTTATCTCTGAGGTTGGTCTACAAGCTGACTTAAGTGTGGAGAGGTTTTCCAATTTATTTTCTTGAGAAAACCTGGGGATGTGGATTTTGATCTAAAATTAGTTTTAGATTGTTGTCTTAATTGTTTTCATGCTATAAAGACCAAGTCCTTTTTAAATTTTGGACTCTTGATCCAGCCACAGGAAAACCAATCTGCTTTAAATCACAAACTGAACCAAAGAGACAAGCAGCTGTCATTGTGTCGATGCTGACACATGGGGGCCCACGTGCATCCATCGCGTACAGCCGTGCTCCCTAGGGTGTTCCACGACAGACTGTTCAGAAGAGGTTCCCCAGACCTTTTCTCTGAGGTGCCTCAGAGTAGACCCCAACCGCCAACTGTCTGGTGCACAGGGAGCGCATACTCAGTAAATCTGAATGACGGCTCAAGGTCCAGATTTTTCAGGATTGCATGCAGTTGCATTCGGTTGAAAGATCACAGACCCTGGTGCTGGCACTAGTGACATCCCTAAGTCCTCCATGTTTCCTAAGCACCGAGGCAATAGCTCCCATATACCTCACATGCTTTTCACAGCCTCCAAATGCGCCCCCCCCGCCCACCCCAACTCCCTGTGTTTTGTGAAGGTGCATCTGTGCTGCCTGCCTGGTCCCTGTAAGCATCTGAATTCCAGATCCCAAAGCAAGTTCTGTAGCTTCCTCATTTTGTGGGCGGGTGGGTAGTTTCATTTTAAATATCTGGTTAATTAATATTTGATATACTACATTCATCAAAATTAGCATCTTTTCCCCAAGACTGACCAAACTCCTGGTCCCCATTCTTCTCCACGAGTTCCTTCACCGTCAGGTGGGAAAAGGTTGTGCTATGTCATGTCCAATAGCCCATTATAAAATCTAGAACCTGGGTGGGTGGGGGACGGTGGTAAAAGCTAGATGTGCTTGTATTATGCTGAGTGACGTCAGCCTCTCACAGAAGGGCAAATGCCATGTGACTTCACTTATATAGAAGGTCAAGCCAAAGTAAATGGATCATGACCATGGCTTACTGGTGGTTACCAGAGACAGGAGGAAGGGAAAAGGAGGGTGGTAGTTTCATGGGGATGGAAAATTTACATTGATAAAGGGCAGCGTTGCATTACTGATTATTGTAATTGCTGTCAATAAATTGTGCAGGAATTAAAAAGATGAATCGACAAAAGGTGTGTGATAACTGTATTTACAACAATGACAAAAAAAAGAGAAGCTACTACTCAGGCTGCTTACATACGACAAAGCACCTCATGGCATTTGGTGTCTTGGTTGGGAGGTTTACAATCGGGGTTTCACGGGCATCCCAGTTACTTGGCCTAATGATGTGTTTAGTGCTTCTGTTCTACTCTGTGCCTGGTTCATTTACAAATGCTTGGGGTCTTCAAAGCTTGAACGCAGCCATGCAAGGCACAACACATATTGCATGGCTCACCAGGAGCATTGCTGGTCCTGTGGTTAAAAATGAAGGAGGTTCTCTTTTCAGAACCACATCCAGGACTTGAGTGTGGGGCTTTGGGTGTGTTGCCTACCTTTGAGCTGGCATCTCCGCACCACCAGGATATGAAGGTAGCCTTTCCTTGTTCCTAAATAACCATCTATGGCTGGCCTTGACCTGCCAGAATCTTCCGTCTGCAGATCCACAGTGCCTCAGTGAGCTTCCCTTTGCAGCCCATAGCGGCTGCTGTGATAATGCTTGTTGAGTGAACGGGATCTAGCTGTGAGGGAATGCAACTCTTCCCAGGTAACTCTCTTATCCTCAGTGGCACAGTGGCCATTTATGGCACATGGGAGGTGTGCCCACACCTTGAGGTTACCATGCAAATTCCTGCACCCCAGGGCACTCAAGTTCCCTCGAAGATTCTCTGTTTGAGAACCATAAGCCCCCACGTCTCAGCCAAGCCAATAACAGCATGTGCTTCGCCCATCCTCTTTAGCCTGGGTATCCTCGTATGCAAACTGAAGATGGTCCTTCCAGTATAGTGATGTTGGGAGGATCAGAGGTAGGTAACATACACAAAGCACTACACCCAAGGCCTGGATGTCCTACTGAAAAGAGACTTGCCGTCTGAAGGAAGGGATAATGCATTAGGAATGAAGAAGCCACTCAGCTAATAGAACCACGGCACTAGTGCCTAGAACACAACCTTGCCAATTATAAGTCAAGACCTTCAAGGTTTCCCTGAGATGGGGAGTCATGCTCGTTGGAAGTTTCTGAGAGCTGTCAACAGGAAGAGGGTTGTAGAGAAGGTGAAGCACAAGTCCAGGGTCACTAACTGGAGCCTCAGATATTTGGCACCACCTGCCATGTGAGATGCACAGCTCAACTTTCTGGAAGCTTCGTAAACTTTGGTTACCAGGGGAGGGGGCCAAAGAGCTAAACACAACCTCAAGGGTGTCTCAGCTTGTCTCAGAGAATGTAGATTTCTTGTAAAAATCATGAGAAAGGAGGGAGGGGAAAAATGAGGACCTAATGTCGGGGGTTTAAATGGAGAGAAAATGTTTTGAGAAACGATGTACAAATGCGCTTTCAAA